TTAGCGTTAGTATTAGTACTATTTTCGAACAACTTAGTATTGCTTGTCTGCGTTGGACTTTTAACGGCCTACTGTTTAATACCTAGAGTATGCATCAATTTATAATTAGATTCTTCATGAAAGTATAGTATAATCTCTCTAGGTGCACCTTAGAATTGATTATTGATACTAATAATTAAAAAAAAATGCTTTTTTTTTTTTACTAGTTACAGAAAATTGACATTACGATTACATTATTCATGACAATAATAAATTACAATTCTATGGGATTAAATCCGAAAATTTAAATTACAACTATATATTATCATTATTCCAGGTAGAGGTCGGAACCGGTGACATTTTAGAATTTATCATAATTTAATTGGATAAAATTTGATAAATTTTAGAATATCGCAAATTGCTAATTACTGATTAAAAATTAACTAAGTGATTAATTATCGTTATCCGATTCGATAACGATTACTTTATTATTACAGTAGAATATACAGTATACCGATACTATTAATAATATTTATCGATACTGTAATTGCTTTATTATAATCCCTGTAAATACGATATATTCATTGAAAATAGTTGAAAAAATTTACGAGTTACATTTTTTTAAACCAGTTAATAAATTCTTGGTCATATTGTATATATTTATAAAAGCTCATATTCAAAATTTTTTTTGTTTTTTGTTAAGGGACAAGAACAGTCTTTGCCACATGTTTTCACAAACTAAACGCACTATATTAATAGTGCCAAATCAAAAACTTATAAAATCAGACAGTTAATCAATTCCAGGAATACGTGTAAAACAGGAATAAAGAGAAAAATGTTACCGTATTTATTTAAAGCCCAGTAATGTTAACCCGATATAAAATTCATGCTCCGAGCTACTCACCGGTTTAAAAAATTATTACCAGATCATTTCAATTGACTTGTTGATCTGCTAATCCTGAATACATCCTTACTGCTTCAATTCCACTATTCACTTTGATTTTAATAATAGAAACGCACATGACCATCCGTTTCTACATCATGGTCACGTGTTCGACACCAAGCTCGATAGGTATTATATCTGATATTCATTACAATCCGTAAATACGGTCCCTCAAAGTATTTTCCCTCCTTCTCCTTCTAAAACTTTTCATTATTTTCTCAATTATTTCCTTTCGTGTAGATGTTTTAATTTTATAAATATCCTAAACAAAATCATCCAGATTATAAAAAAAAAATCTTTGAAAAATTTTCTAAACTCATTCCAAATTTTCCCTAAACTCTCTTTTTCTTCCTCGAATTCCTCAACCAATTCACTAATTTGTCTCACGGTTATAATCTCATGTTTCGAATATGCTAAAGACCTTGTATCGTTACCTATTTCTTTCTATCAATTTCAAATAACGTATTCTTTGAATCAAAAAGTCATCAATTGATTTTTCAATTTGTTTGTGCTTCATGTTTTTCCCATCAATATTCATTATTTTTTCAATTTCTTTAATTCTTTCCTCTTTCTCCTACTCTTTGGGAATTTCTGTTGCATATAAAAGACTTGTTCCCTCTCCAATTCGTCCTGTTTCAATTTTCTATTTATTTCTTCACATGCCTTTAATGCCCACACATCATTTAGCTTTATTTTTAATATTTTTTTCAAAAAATCCAAGTGATTCTTTATATTTTCCCACCATGTGAAAAGCTTCTCTTTGATATCTAAGCACAAATGTATTATCAAAACAAGGGAGACAGTATTGGTAATGACTTCCATGTAGATAACATTTAAAAAGGATCCCGTGCGTGCATTACTACTGCCTGTAATAAAATTAACCTTTTCCATATACTGTATATAGGGTTATTTCTCGATAATGATCCCGTCAATACCGCAAACATGTTTTTCTGTTTGTTTAATGATTCATAATTGCTCATATTAAAAATCCTTTTCCAATCTGTTTTTAGCAATTCCTCTTCAATATCATTATCGGTGAATGCTTCATAAATAAAATTTTGTTGACCAAAATTTATTTCGATAGATCCGCCTTGTGATCTCAATCCAATGCAAGGATGCAATTCAAAGTTCTCTACTGTAAAATCTTTATCTTCGAATACAATTGCTAAATGTACACCATTTTTTGTGTAAAATACAAAATTAAATTCAAAATTTAAACAGCACCCAATAATATCGCCGATTGTAAAAGGCGATCCATATGGCTTGCCACATCCTAAATGACAAAAAATATTTCCACTATCATCACGATAACCCCATGAATTATTTCCCCATCCAGGTATCGAATTTAACATAGATTCTTTAAAACAAAATCCAATTCTAATTATTCTATTTTCACCTCCATTTAAAATTTTAACTTTAAAATAAAATAATTTTACACGGCGGAATTGGATGATCTGTTCGTATCATTGCAGAATCAAACCAACTTTCTCCCAGACATACACAATTCACTTTAAGCCCATCTACTTATAAATGCCTGGATATGTCGCTAAGATTCCATGCAGTCAGGTGATCCCATGGTTGTGAGAAAAATAGTTCAATGGAAGCGATCTCTAAAATACACAAGTTACAATGAGACATGTCACACAATTTTTGTAGTACCTTCATCAAGGTGACTTCATTTTACTCTATATATCAAGAAAAAACCTGCTCTTCTACTATTGATGCTTCTTACAGGGATGGACATATCTGGCACGTCAACCAATCAAATTTCGAGTTTATTACATTTCAAAATAAGATACTTTGGCGTAAGAGAAAACAATATTATTTAATCAAAATATGAAATAAATAAAAATTTTTGTTATAATGAATATCATTTATATTGTATTAGCTGATCTTGTTATTTCATATGTAACTTGTAAATCCCTTAATTATCCCGAAAATTTTCCGATATTAAGTTACACTTGACCACTAATTTATTATAAATTTTATTTTTAAAAATAAAGAATAAAAAAATATTTTAAATGCTTTATTAAATTTTAAGTATTGTTTTACATATATATGTATGAATCAAATACATATACACAAATACAGTAATACCAAGATAATTATTTCAATCTTCATATTGTATCAAAAAAAAAAAAAACCCCCCACAATTAATCTTAAAATAATTATTCAAATAGTAAGCACATCTATTTTACAGAGATTAATTTTTTTTTTGAATCAAAAAAAAAATTCTATGCCCACCTCTCGGGCAATATAAATATTATACCACTAAAGAAGCTAAGATACAAAATTGTTACACCGAGATAATACTACTAAGATAAACATACTATTATAAGTTAATTAAAATAAAGATTAACAAAAGAATTAGTATTTAATGCATATTCTCACCACTGTTACATTATTATCCATTCATGAATCTAACCACCATTACACTTATATTATCAGTAGTGAAATTCTGTAGAGCATGTTTAATCAATTTCGAGCTCGCCTCTTGTGGATCTGTAATATCTTTAATAAGATCTACGGCTTCTTGATCACTGCAAACGTCCCATAACTGAATATGTAAGAAAATAATATACATAGATACTAATAAATATACGAAAGAAAAATTAAAGAACTACAAATAAACGACAACATACACCATCACAAGCAAGTATCAAAAAAGGATCCTTTTCTGTCAGTGTTGTTTCTGTGGTATAAGGTTTACCTATAACAAATTCTTTCATTGAACTATCACCCAGTGAGCGAGTCACAGCCAATACACCTACAAAATAAAATAAATAAAATAAAAAAAGTTATTAAATATTTCAAGAAATACATAATAAATTATAGGAGAATAACAAACCGTTAACACGATTATTCATGACAAATCCACCAGCATCAACAATTCTTTTGGCTTCTTGAAGATCACTTCCTTTATGATCATAAGATAACCTAACAGCTCTTCCATCCCGACTATAAAAAAAATATATATATAATAAATGGATTAGATCAAATTAAGAAATATCAACCTAAATTGAATAGTAGCATACTTCAAAACAGCGCGAGCGTCACCAACATTTGCAGTATATAAAACACGCTAAATTAGAGAAGAAATAATTAGAGAAAAAATAATTAGAGAAAAAATAATTAGAGAAAAATAATTAGAGGAAATATAAATAAACTAATCAACATAAAAAACAAACATATCAATAATTAAAATAATTTTTTCAAAAGTTACCTTAAATTTCTTTACTGAATCAGTACCATTACAAACCGAAGGATTTTTACCATTAACGTCATTTCCGATTAATATTTCTTCAGGTCTCAAAAAAGCGGTAACAGCCGTACATCCAGAATGTTTTCCAGCATTTTGATTAAGTTGCTTATCTGCCTGCAGAAAAGCCAGATGTAATATTTCTTGAGCAGGTTTATCGGTATGTTTTTGAAGGACTTCTTGAAATATCTATAAAAAAAAAAAAAAAAAAAAGAAAAATTTTTTTTTTTTTACAAAATATAAATACATTTGTGATATATAATTTAATAATATTTTTGCCAAGAATGATGAATATTTAAAAATTGCAAATTAAATATTAAATTTAAATGATCTGCTAATATACACCATTTAACGCTATCCTACACAGAACAAAAAGCACATAAGAAAATATTTGTGAATTAATCACTTATTGAATTTTTTTATTATTTACCTCATGAAAATTATTTCCGCACCATTCGGCGGCTTGTTTTCCAGCATGACCGTCAAAAATTGAGAAGAAACCTTGACCCTCAATTCCCGCGAAATCATAAAAATATGAATGTGCATCCTATTAAACGATAAGTTTTGCGAAGGATTATATTTAATTGAGAAATTGTCAAGGTGTCCTGCTTTGAAAACTTTTGATCATAATGTAGTTAAAATTCTCATAGGCAAAAGAGCCTTGGTACAGCTTATATAAGGTGACAAAACATTGTATACCTCCATTGTGCGTCTGCAACGCCTATTTCGATCCTCACTCACACCCACATGAAAATAAGGAAACTCTTCTCTTATATTTGTCATATTTCTAATTTGGAGAATCTTCTTTTTTTTTATATATATATATATTAAATGCTCTTTTATTGTCTAAAAAAGCTTAGTGTTATTACAAGATAGAATGTAAATACATTATTCTCGGTGAAGCTAATCACTATTCCTGCTTGCATTTGTGTTACATTTAAGTCACCTTTTAATGCGATATGTCACCCCTCCTCTTTCCTTATATAATAAATTAAGAGAAAACTCTCGAGTGGGTAAATTATTATTTTATCGTATGATTTTATAACCCTAATAAATTGTGTTAGTGTGTTAAATGATATTTCTTTGATATCGATATGTGAAATCTTATTGGATTAACGGACATAACATTTGCGATTGGTTAAAGACTCGATTTTTTATCGGTTGTTAAAATACAAGTTTTTAGCTTTAATGGGTATATAGTCAACACTCTCTAAGAGCACACACTATAATTGCGATTTCTAAGACTAATTTCAAATTCTTTTTCTGTAAGATGGTATTATGTATTTGCTAAGTCCTCATTGTTAAGACTTTTTTTTTTTTTTTTTTATTAGGCACAGTACTTTAGGTTTCGCGATATACTGATACCGATACGCTTTAGTTTTCATGATAAATACTTTAGATTTTGTAATACTTGAGGTTTTTGCGATACATACTTTATTTGTTTCACAATACGTATTTATTTAATTTTTAATAATGATTTTATTTGTCTCGCGATATCTCGTGGATAAATATTTTTGAATTTCGTGATATATGCTTGATTTAATACTTTTTTATTTTTTAATAATGTGTTGTGAGACCTTAGTAAGATCTAAAAATTTAAATAATATTTGTAAGTCTCTTGTTAATATAAAATGGGTTGTTGTCTAGCAAAACCATGCTTAGAGTATATATCTTATATACTCTAAGCATGCCAAATGTTTTCAAAGATACAAAGTTATAGGAATATTAACTATATAGTAAATCAAATACTGTATAGTTTCGAAATTAAGTACCCCTTTTTTGTTAATGAAGGTGCTTATTTTCGAATATAATTTTAATATAAGATTTCTTACTAGTAAACCTACTTTCTGCTTCTAAGTAAAGTAATTCTCTAGGTCAAGACGATTCTAATGATGGTAAAATTAAAAAATTGGTCCATTAGAACTTTTTCAATTGTTCTTCAGAGTTCGGGTGACGTTTGTTTAATCCACGCAAAGTCGATTTTTCGTTTTACATTACATAAAATTCTAATACTTGGTTAGGCAGACGGATTTTTTTTCCCCTTTTTTTTACGGGTATTATTAAATTACCTGAGTTCAGATAAGCAGCAATTTTTATCCGGGTCCGATCCTTACTATTTTTTAATATAACGATAAATGTCGCCAAAGAAAAACCAGACTTCGGGTACGGTAAATTATAATTTCCTATCCGGAAAATTAAGGTCACACTGTATAAAGAAAATAAACATCAAAAATGAATAATTGGCATTAACACTATTGTAACTCTAAAAAATGTCCTTATGTGATCAGCAAATTAGTAAGTAAATGTCGCTCTGATTTTACTTATACAGAATTTGATAGTTCTTAATTTCGGAACTATACGGTACAAGTGGAAATATTGGTATAGCTAAACCAGATAGCTACGGTAATGCAGAATTTCACTTAACTTCCAGCTTACTGACAGCTAGGGCTACTGAACTACTTTCCAAACAAATAGTATAGTGACAAGTTAATTTTGTGATGTTGAAATGGACCTTTTATCAGATTAACTTTGGCGAGTACACGTCACTCTTGATATAACGTAGTACCTCGGGCATATAGTGAGGAATTTTTTAAAATCCGCTTTATCGTGTGTT